AGAAAGAAAGAAAGAAAGAAAGAAAGAAAGAAAGAAAGAAAGAAAGACTGCCAACTTGTAGAGGAAGCAACAAAACCTAGAGCCGAGTAACTTCTGCTCCTTAACGCTGTGACACAGATGGATTTTCCTTCCTTCCAGGAAGGCACAAAAACAGTTGAAGCAGTTAAACAAGCAAACAAACAAACCAACAAGGGTGGAAGGAAAAGGCAAGCCGAGGACAAGTCGATCCGTCTCAGAACAGCTGTGTAGACGGCGTTTTCAGGTAGTGTGCCAAAACTGAGTGCTGAGAGCCGAGACAGGGGCAAAGGTGGGATGTGGTTGGCGGCCACACCTCACACTGATCCCGTTTCCTGCAGCTCACTACGAGCTCATAGTTCACTATGAGCTCACAGTTCACTATGAGCTCACAGAAGGTCTGGCAGCTCCACACCCCTGTCCTGCCACTGACAGTCTTCGTGACTAAGTACCACGTGCGTCTCTACACCTAAAGACAGTTAGGATTTGAATTCTAACGAAGTTCAATTCAATTAGTCTATATAGATGTGCTCACCATAACCCCCAATACACAGGGTCCCTAAACATTTTTATTAATGTTTTTCATTTCTAGAATAATAAAACAGAGCAAGCCTCCACAGGAGTGAACCGAGTAGCCAGACAATTTATTCCCAAAGCATCGAGGGAAATCTGAAAGTGGACAGCAGCTTTTGAGAACTAGTCTCTCATTTCTGAGGACCACTTGATGTCCTACACGCTGCAGGGTTGGTGTCAAGCAAGTTAATGGCTGAGGCCAAAGGTCAGTCTGAGCCGGACTTGGTGGAGCCTCTAGCTAGCCGGAAAGGGACACGTGATCAGAGTGGGCTAGGTGTGGTGCCTGCCCGAGAAATAAACGCAACCAATGACAAAACAGTCACAGCAGAAGGCAGCAGAGGAAGAGGCTGTCAACAGGAAAGTTATCATTTCAGACACACAAGAACTCTTCTGGCTGGAGTCACTTTAAAACGCTTTCTCTGTAATTGTTAACAGCTGTCGCGTGAAAACTATCCCGAGCTCTTTCCAACGTGAAAAGCGAGGCAGAAAGAGTCAGTATTTTCCTGTGACTATACAACTTCTAGGTAAGAAAGCATCCATGGCACCAATTCCAGAACCTTCACACTACCTGGGACAGCCCCCGGCGCTCTCCGGCGCTCTGCTGAGTCAGCCATCGCCAGCGAGTCCTTGAGGATTCGGAACCACACTCACGGTTGCCGCTCTCTCTCGACAGTGGCTAACTCCTCGGCTCTGGGCATTTGGTAACAGGCATAGTTCTTGATGAAACAACAAGGCAAAAATAACACCAGATGGCTCTTACCACTTCCTTTAAGCTGTGAACCTTGCAAGCATTTTATTCTCCAAAGTCAATGCTTTAAAGTAGATTGCTTTGCCTTTCTTATTCTAGAGTCTTTCGAAACCTCACGGGAGATGTGGAAATTCAAACGAATCTCCCTCAACCTTTCTTTTTCTGTTTAAGAAAAAACTGATTAAAAAAAAGAAAAAGAAGAGTATAAAAAGAAAAACTAGGGGTTTGGAGAGGTATCTCAGGAGTTACGAGCACTGACTGCTCTTCCAGAGGCCTAGGTTCAATTCTCAGCACCCACGTGTTTGTCACAACTGTCAGAAACTCTAGTCCCAGGGGGTACAGTGTTTTCTTCTAGACTCCTTGGGTACCAGAACACAAGTGATGCACAGACCTGCACACAGGCAAAACACACACACACACACACACACACACACACACATAACAAACAAAGAAAAATTAATAAAAAAAATTTCAAAAAAAGAAATTAGGACATACAGTTAAGTTTCACTTTCTAACCCATGGACCACCTGCTATTGATCGAGGTGACCTGCTAGGTATATAGGACACCGAGGTAGGGAAGCAGAGTCCTGCCCTGTGGGCCTCTTCAGCCCAGTAAGAAAGGAGGACAGTCCTTTCACGCCTCGAGACAAATGTAGTAAAAGGGGTGAGAACAGGATGAAGCTCCGTCTTCCTTGAAGCTGACCAAGAGAATGTTCAAGAGTGAAGTTGTTTGACTGAGTCAGGACTGAGGAACTGAATTTTTCCAGGCTATGTGAACGACTACGGCAGATTCAGCATTTGTCAGTTGTTAGACACGGACGGAGGGTACAATGAGATGAAGTGGGATCAGGGTCATGGGCCAGGGAAGGCCCAGAAGCTAAATGATAGAGTTCACATTTCACAAGAAGCGGATTTAGCTGTATCCTCAACAGCAATATACACCATTTGAAAGACATAATTCTATGAAGTAAGTAACGGAATTACTGCCCCATAGCGTGGAGATTGGAGAGGTGAAGAATAGGAAGAGGCCGAATTTCCAGTTAGGTGCTTCCGTTGGCTTAGGTGGTAGCAGAAACCTGGATCGGAGGAAAAGCAACGGGAATGCAGGCGAGGCAGTGCATCAAGGAAATACTTGCGATCAAATCATCAAAGGAGGATATGGAGTGAGTCCGAGGGATGAGTAGGGCTTGCTATAGACAACTTAGGTTTTTACTCTCTGGGTAAGTGGTGCTGAAATCACCTGCGGCAGAACCTAAGGGGAAGGCTGAGTATGACTCTCCGTTAGGCCAATACATGAGAGTTGCTTAATAAATATTTAGATGCAGCTGTGCACCGTGAGGAATAATATCAAAATCAGCAGATACCCACATGTCAATATGGCACCCAACAGAAAGAACAGTTCTCTTTCTGCTTCTCTCCCTCTGGAAGTCAGATTTGCTCGAGAAATCAATTTGAGATGTCAGTGAATAAGGAAGTAAGCGTCCAGCTTCACACGTTTCCCCAAATCTAATCCCTCAAGGTCGGCCTCCCTAGCCCTGCCACAGAAAAGCAGCTGCAGCCCACCCCCTGGGCACCGTCCTGTCCTGGATCCTCCCCTGGTTCTCCACTGCATCCTAGCATCTAATGCCAGCAGGCATTCGCTGTGAACACACTAGCTGAGCTGGCCAGAGGAAAAAGGCAATCCCCAGTCATCACACTGTGAAAATCCAGAGAGGAAACAGAAACAAAGAAGCCAAAGACCCACCCGAAAAGACAGACCCACAAATCAGTTTCTAGACTAACAAATGCCCTAAACCCCAATGCCTGCACACCAGCAAAAGCACACAAGTAATAATAGCCAGGACAATACGTCTCTACTAGAGCCCAGTTATTTCACAAAAGCAGGCCCGGAATATTTCCAAATAGGTGAAGCACAAGAAAAATTTCTTAAAACCAGCTATACGAAGATGACAGGAGTCCTTAAGAGGAAGAGAACATACCACTTAAAGAAATCCAGAAAAATCCAAACAATTGGAGGAAATGAATAAATCCATTAAAGAAAGTCAAGAGAAAAAAAACAAACAGTTCAAGGAAATGAATAAAACTGTTCAAGACCGGAAAACGGAACTAGAAGCAATAAGAAGACACAAACTGAGGGGATTCTGGAAGTGAAAAATCTAGAAAATTTGAACAGGAACGACAGAGGCAAACTTCACCAAGAGAATGTGTGACATGGAAAAGAGATTTCAGACACTGAAGAGAGATAAATCAATCAAAAAAAAAATCTAAATCTAAAAAATTCCTGACACAAAACACACAGGAAATCTGGGGCACTATAGAAAAACAAACCTAAGAAAAATAGGAATAGAGAAAAGAGAAGAATCCCAGCTCAAAGGTCTAAAAACTATTTTCAGCAGAATATCAGATGAAAAATTTCCTAAACTAAAGAAGGAGAAGACTTCCTATCAAGGTACAAGAAGCATATAGAACACCAAATAGATTGGATCAGAAAAGAAATATCTCTCACCACATCATAATCAAAACACTACTCAGACCAAAAAAAAAAAAAAAGAAAGAAAGAAAGAAAGAAAGAAAGAAAGAAAGAAAGAAAGAAAGGATATTAAAAGCTGCAAGGAAAAAAAAACAAAAAAAAACTTATAAAGGCAGACCTATTAAAATTACTTTTAACTTCTCAATGGAGACTCTAAGAGCCAGAAGGGCCTGGAATGATGTGATTCAAACACTAAGATACCATCCTAGTCTCTCTCTCTCTTTCTCTCTCTCTCTCTTTCTCTCTCTCTCTCTCCTCTCTCTCTCTCTCTCTCTCTCTCTCTCTCTCTCTCTCTCTCTCTCTCTCCAGCAAAACTGTCAATCACTATAGATAATTGAAAATAAGATATTTCACGATAAAGTCAAATTTAAACAGTATTTACCTAAAAATCCTACCCTACAGAAGGTGCTAGAAGAAAAACTCCCACCCAAGGAGATTAATTACACTCATGAAAACACAGGCAATAAATAATCTCACGTAAGCGAAATAAACAGAAGGGAAACACACACACACACCGCTACCACCACCACCAATAGTAAACAACAGGAATTAACAATCATTGGCCATTAATATCTCCCAATATCAATGGTCTCAAATTCTCCCAATCAAAAGATACAGATTAACAGAGTGGATTCAAAAACAGGGTCGACCTTTCTTCTGCTCCCAAGAAACATACCTCAACATCAAGAGTAGACATAAACATGGAGCATAATGTTGAAAAAAGATATTCCAAAAAAATGGACCTAAGAAGCAAACTGGTACATTTTAATAACTAATAAAATAGACTTAGAACTAAAATTAATCAAAATAAATGGAAAAAGACACTACATACTCATCAAAGAAAAATTCAACATGATCAATTCTTAGCACCTAGGCTCCAAACACATGGGCATCCATTTTTGTAAAGAAAACACTACTAAAGCTTAAATCACATATTGACCCTCACACACTAATGGGGGGAGACTTCAAGACCCCACTCTCACCAATGGACTGGTCATCTGGAACAGAAACTTAAGAGAGAAATACTGGAACTAACAGGCAATATGAATCAATTATACCTAACAGATACCTACAGGACATTCCACCTAAACACAAACAATATACCTTCTTCCCAGCCTCTCATGAAACTTTCTGCAAAATTTACCACATACTTGGTCACAAAGCAGGTCTCAACAGATACAAGAAAACTGAAATAACTCCATGGATCCACTCAGACCGTTATAGATTAAAGATGGATATCAACATCAGAAACAATGGAAAGCTTACAAACTCACAGAAACTGAACAACTGTTTATGGAATGACTTCTGGGTCAAGGCAGAAAGAAAGAAAGAAAGAAAGAAAGAAAGAAAGAAAGAAAGAAAGA